GGAGCACGAAAATTTTTTTGCCGACACTGCCTGCTAATTTCTGCTTGGTTTATATTATAAATTCCGGATGCATTTACTACGATTATAAATCGCGCATCTGGTTTATCACGTTTTGATGTGCTATGTAGTTTTGAAAATCCCATATTTTTATTACGCTGTTATTGTGGCACGCACATTTCAAATCGCACATTCAAATAGTCTCTTTTTGATGTGCTCTGTGTTTTCTAAATTCATCATAAATCCGAGTGACGCTTAGAGCATTTTTTGGCATTTATAACTGCTAATTTCCATATGGCTTATAAATTTCCTGATATATTTATACGATATTGTATCTATATACCTATAGATAAAAGAAAAGAGAGAGATAAAAGAGAAAAGAAATAAAATAAAAAGTATATATACTTTTTTTTTTATTTCTTTTCTCTTTTTTTTCTATGAGCTAAGCGAATCAGTTTGAATATTTCAAGAACCAATTCAGGGGTCTGTCCAGGTCAAATTTACTACCGTTTAGCGGTACCTTCACAAATTCAACTTTAGGAAAAACTGTAGTTTCGCAAAATACTTTTTCTAAAATTTTATTTTTGTATCCCGTAAGAAACGATAAATCCATATTTTTGTGTTGATTTTTTAATATAATCTTTTATTTTCACAAATTACGTCTAAATTTTCACAAAATAGGTATCTCTCAGAAAAAGCTAGACCTACCCCTGCAATTTAACTTCATTTAGAAAACTTTAAATTAATTATTTTGTTTAGCAGCTTGGAAAGTGCTTGTATTTGAATCAAAACTTAGAAAATAATTAACTTACCTGCATAGCAAACTATAATAATACACTTCCTATTCAAATTTTTGATAAAAGTTGTTATTGGGCATATATTTGACAAATGAAACTGAAGGTGTGGTATTTGAGAGAGAAAAAAAAAATTTCTGTAATTTTTATTTATAAATTTGGCGCATTTCCGTGACTAGTTATTTTTTGATAGGTTATGATGTACTAAATATTTTATTAAAAAATTTTGTTATGAGCTTGAATTATTTTTCTGAGAGTTTTTTCTAAGAGAATTTTATGTCTAACGCAATGGAATTGTCCCTATCATATTAACACTATTATAGGCTGTGAAAGATTCTCATAAATCATGCCTGAAATATGTTAGAATATTAAAATAAGAAGATAACCTTTAAAAAAATACTAAGAATTATTGACAAAGGCAAGGGAAAAAGATTAAAAAAAAAGAATAAAAAATTAGTTGTAGGCCTAGTAAAATAAGGAATAAAAAGAAGGGGGGAAATCTGCAGTAGCTCAAATTATTGAGAAAAGGACTTGCATATAATTTAGTATTTAAAGGCACTGATCTGATCAGTTCAAAAATTCAGAAAAAATATTGAAGCCTGTACGTAGAGTTTAGGCTTAACTGCAGTCCTGGCAATATTAAGTTCAGATTAAAGACTTGTCATGGGTCTGTCCAGACATTTTGTGAAAGGTCCCGTGTTTGTAAAATTGTGAAAAAATTACTCGTGATTTGTGAATATAAATTAAATGTTAAGTCACATTCTTTCAACCAGAGTCCTGTTATTGCAAAAAACCTTTCCAAGGAGTTTTTAAATTGAAAATGGATACAAGATTATGATCAACACTGTAAAATTATAATTAAAAAAAATATTAAATTTTCAAAAATAAACAGTTATTGCTCCTACTAAATTAGAGACTCAAATACAAATATTTGGTATTTAGCCTATACTGCACAGCACAGAATAATCATTTTGAACGAATAATGGAAACAAAATCACTCACATTTTTAATCATTTCTATTGACATATTTTCAATAACACAACTTAGTTATGTATCACTTCTAATGTGTTACTCATTAAGTAAACTTAAACAATTCTTCAATATAAATTTTTTTTTTTTTTTAAAATTGACATAAGTTAATTTTCATTTACATAATATTTTATCAATTAATTTTATGCATAATATATTGCTCAATTATTTATTTACAAAAAAATATTTAATATTAATTAGAATGTACACACGATGCTTGTAGAAGTAGAAATATTTTCTTAGAAATTTATCTTAGAAGAAATATTTTCTTAGAAGTAGAAATATCTTTCTTTTCATTTGGAATTTATAAAATTTTTTGGACTTCGAAGAGGTTAAGGTGCATAATATAAATGAAATGAGATCAAACTTAGCCTTAGAATTAAAGCAGAAAAACATGATTAACAAAATATTTGAGCAATATACATCGATTGCCAGTAGATGTGAAAATATCTATAATAGCTGAACACTCAGCATCAGTCAATTTTTCCTGCCCATTTACAATACATAAATATCTACAGAGTAGTGTCTCTTGTGAAGGGTCTGATTAAAAGATAAAATATTTTGTGAAGGGTCTGTTAACGAATCCAACCCAAATGTCTTCTAAACAGACCACTGCTTGTGTTTCCAAATTAGATGAAACCGAGATTAGTAGAACTGCAAAATTTAAATGATAGTCTTTGCAATGGGAAAGAAAGGAATGAATTTTGTAAAAGCGATTAAATATTAAATGCTTTTAACTTTTTGCTATAACTTTAATTGTAAGTTGCTTATTTTAAATTTTTAATAGCAAACAATTTATGTTAAAATAATAAGATGAAGATTGAAGTTATGAAATCTTCTTCAAATTAGTAAGTTTTTTTCATTTCTTTAAAATTTTTATGACATCAAATTTAGGGTCACACGATTTTATAAAGCCGTATGGACCATTTCTGTTATGTATTTATATAAGTATATATAAGTAGGTAATACTAATCTTATTTTTGCATCATACATGGCTTGCTTATTATGTTATTACTTGCATATTATGTTGTGACGACACGTTCACATTGTCACAGAACGTTACTTAGTTCTTGTGGAAATAATTTTCATTGGAAAGTCAGGGGTCTGTCCAGGCTGAATTTGTTACCGTTTAGCGGTAGTTTCACAAATTTAACTTTAGGAAAAACGGTAGCTTCACAAAATACTTTTACTTAAAATTTTGTTTTTGTATCCGTTAAGAAATATTAAATCTATATTTTTACCATGTTTTTGTGTTGATATTTTAATATGTCTAAATTTTCACAAAATAGGTACCTTTCAGAAAAACCTAGACAGACCCCTGAAAGTACAAAATTATGTTTTTTTTTCTTCTTTTCCTGCAGAAATTGATATATCTTGCAACTTACTAAAAAAAGTTCAAATGTCTCACCTGGTCAGTTAATAAATAAAAATTGGAAAAAACAGTATGATGATTGACAGTAAAAAGATTGAAATTGTACAATTATCTTTCAAATAGATAGGTGTTATAAACTTTTTCTTTAAAAATGTGTTCTCATAGGCTTGCTATGATCCACCCTAATGTATACCAGAAAAACTTTACATTTATAAATATTTCATTTTAAATTAAAATTTTCTGAAAGGGGATAAAAATCAAAAACATAATTCTACTTGTTCTTACCTTTTTTTTTGTTCAAATTTTTTCTTGCATTTAATATTTGTAACTTGGTTTTCTTTAATACCCATGATAGAATCACTGTGAGGCAGTGATATTGTCATAGAATGTTAGAGTTCTTTCAGGAAAATTTTTCCTCTGGGAAGTAAAAATTTTGGTCTTTCCTCCAGACATAATCAAAAGATTTTTTTTTTCCGTTTTTTTTTTGCAGAATTAACACTCCTGATTTTCTATTCTCTTTATATATAGTATTGTAAATCCATGTAGTGTTCTGATTTTTCATTTGCAGTTATTGATATTGATTTTCACATGGTTTTAAAATATCACAATATATTCCAGTCAATATGAGAAATTTGAATTACAGATTTTAATTTTTAGCTCAATGTTTCTGTTTATTTTTTTCGCAGTTATTTGTTTTCACTTAGTTTTTAAAATCCGATGTTTTTAACACCATATTATTTATCACAACAACCGAATCTCGTAACCTTTTTTAAAGAATCATCTTTTTTTTATGCCAGTCTTTTTGGTAATTCGCGATTTTTTATTTTTTTTTAAATTTTTTAAAAATTTTTTTTTTTATGTATACAGGATTTACAAAATTCAAAAAAGGAAATAATTTGTGCATCTTCCCCCCAACAAAATAAGAGAATCACCCATAATATTAGAATTTAAAAAAAAATATTACATATCAAATGAAACAAAAATATTATGTATCGAATTATTAAAAATATATACCTTTTTTCTATTTTTGTCAACACGAAACTTTTTTTTTTGTCAACTCAACTTCTGTTACTTTATATTAGTAAAATATATATTTGTTATTTAAAATATTTTGCTGAAAGATATTACTATTAGAACGCTTTTAACCGAAAGTCAATAAAGTTTTTGGTGCGGAAATTTTCTTTAATTATTAACTTGTGCTCATCAAATATGGAAGGCTTCTTTGAAAGAGATCGTAAATATCATCTCGTTGGCGTTAGTAAAAGTAGTTGTTGGAAACAACGGTGTGAAGTAGTTACAGATCTATGACTGTTTTTCTTAAGAGAGTAAGGGGTTAAGTGTTCAACATTGTTCATTGTAAGAGATCATTACTCTGTCAAGGAAATTTTTATTTTTCATTTAATAGAAGTTTTTAAAAGAAAAAACATTTTGGACGTATTATTTCTTAACCTTATTTTGTTTATTTGGAAACATTTCATTACATAATAAGTTCTTTACAAAGAAAAATAAGAGTTAATGATATAAGTCTTAGTTTTGCAGACCTCTTGTGAGAAAAATTGCTAATTTAAAAAAAATAATTATAACTATATTGATATCTATGTATAAAAATATTTTAATTTTACATATTCTTATATTTTATTTTTTAACTGGCAATTTTTATCAATTGCACAACTTTATATTGGAAGAAACTTAAGTTTATAGATGTTTTGATTGTAGAAGTTAAGGGTAAAGGTATTTCGAAATAAAAATTTTATAAAAATTTCTTTTTTAATCAATTTTTATAAACTTAATTGCTCTGTTCTTTTTAGGAACATCATTTGCAAAGGGCCATTTCAGCACAACAAGCATATGGGCATACAGGGGAACTTGTCATACCAACTCCGGAAGTATACAATGTACCGAAACCAGTTAAAGATGAGCTATATCCTGCAACTTACAAAAGTTCACGACAACTTATTCATGTTCAACGTAAGTATTTTTTTCTTTTTTTTTTACAAGATGGAACCTTTCATTTTTCCGATGATAACAAGATTTTTAAGCTAAACCTGTATTAATATTGTGTGTAGATTTTAAACCAACAATAAAAATTTCCTAGTCCAATAAGACCACCTAGATATTCATTTGGTTGTCTAAAATCATAATATAATTGACGAACTTGAAAAAAAAAAAATTTGAACTTCAGAATTGCATAGTTCATGTCAAAAAGTATTTATTGTTATCTATAACTCCCTAAAGCTAACCCATAATGATTAAAGAGTAGTATTTATATTAAAATAAAGAGTGAAAAAGTAAAATAATAATAATTTGATTCAACGTGGAAATTAAAAGGCTAAGACCAAATAAATATATAAATGAGGTAAACAAAGTAATAACTAACAAAATATTATATCTAAAATTATCTATCTATTAAAAATTATCCATCTGCATTAGAGACATGTTCATTTATTTTTTAAAAATTCTTTTTCACTTCCTTTCTCATAAATATTGCTTTCTAGAACTTCGAAGTCAGTATAATCCATCTGAACCATTTGTTCATCATTTTCAGTCTTTTCTTTCATCCTGCACCTTCAATATACTTCTGCATTTTTCTGAATGCACTTTCATTCTCTTCTCGCCATAGTATGCTCACAACTTATGTATTTCACATAAGTTTTACTTTCTTTTATACATAAAAAGTAATTCAATATTACATTCTTTGGTCTTTCTCCTTTATCTATGACAAACTTATTTCTTAATATTAAGTTATCTAAAAAGTTCTTTAAATGCAAATTACTGTATTCCTCTCCCCCATGAAATAACTAAAGCACTGCATAAAATATACTGTTTTGCAAAGATCTAGTTTCCAAAAAAAATTTCAACTAACATTGTCATACCTGCCAAGTCTCCTGTTTTTTAACGAGGACTCCTTTATTTTACGACTATCTCCTATTTACCTGTATATTCTCAAATTTCTCTGTATTTTTAGAAGAAATTTAAAAAAAAAGAAGAAAAAATTGGTGATAAAATATCCACCGATGGCAAAAAATACTTCTTTTATTCCTCAACAGATGGTGCTAATGCCAGTACTGCAGTATGTTGAGTGTTTATTGTTTAAGTTGAGGCGTGATGGCTGATAGAGCGTCTTCTAAGTTAGGTCAAAAACCTGACTTGGATTAAAATCTTTTAGTATTAAATTTAATGCTAGAAAATAGTGATTAAAAAAAATATTCTTTAAATTTCAAAACATGATACATTTCTGAATAGTATGAAATAAAAGTTTTCTTAGTGTTATAAATTTTTTTTAATAAAAATTTATAAAATTGACTAAATATTTTTCTTATTAAAAAAATGAAAATGGCATTTTATCACTTTCTTGGATCTCTTTCGATTTGCCTATGAATTGGGGAAATTCTTTCCACAAATTTCTTTTAAGTATGAGTATAGAGGCTGTATGAAGGCAAATTTTTGGTAGACCACCTTCTATCAGTCACAACTGTGACACATAGAATTTAATTTATATTAATGATGGTTTTCATTAAAAAAAAAACACAATTTTTAAACTATTACACTATTGGGAACTGAGATATAAAATTATTTTAGTTGTGAGATTGGAAAAAACTAGTTATCCTGACTATATCTTAAATTTCTAAGCATATTTTTTTCTTTTTTACTTGTTCAATATTATTAAGCTGATATTTATAGTTAAACATTTGGTTTATATTCATTCCTATCAAAGCAAGTGTCAGAGTAGTTTGGGATTAAGTCTGTCAGATAATAAATTAAGCTGAATGGCTTAGCATGATTTATTTATTATGTGTCTTTGCATTTGCAGCTTTACTGATTTATTAGCATATTAATTGTTTAAAAAAGGTAGTTTTTATGTTTGATTAAAATTTTTCAATGAAGTCCTCTTCCTCTAAATTTTAGCTTTCTCCATGGACCAAGACATACCAGATTATGATATGGACTCGGAAGATGAGAAATGGTTGTCTCAACAAGCTGAAAGGTTGGACATAAAGCCTTTGCAATATGAGGAAATGATGGACCGTTTGGAAAAAAGCAGTGGACAGCAAGTATGTTTAAACTTCTAGATAAGCATTACTGTTTTGAGATTGTCATATATATTCGCTCAATGGACTGATGGGTCTTATATTTTAATTTAGCCTAAATTTCAACCATTTTAAAATATTTCCTGAAAATAATTTTTAGATAAGGCCTTATTAAAGTCATAAAATGTAACAAAAAAAAGTTGTTAGTTTTTTTTCTTCTCAAAAAAAAAAAAAAAATTTTAAAGGTTAGATTTACATAGAATTCTTCTTATTAATGTTGATAACTTGTTGGAACAAACATTTTCTTCAATTTCATTCTCTGAATGATAAGGAGTTATGTTTCAGTAAAGATGAATTAGATTAATGTATTTGAATGGTTTTTTTGCGAAAGCTTATTTTTTTGAATGAGTAATTGCGGAAGCCTGTAGCCTGTCCAAATTTTCTGTGAAAAAATAACTTTTTTGCTGTTTGAATTAGCATAAAATAACTAAGGAACATTTTAACATCTTTCCTCTCATTCTTTCCTTCGTCTTACCTTCGCAGACACTTCGTCGAACTCTCAACGCATCTATACTTGATCATTGCGCCATCATGACTTGGTGACATCTACACTTTGTATAGCGAAATCTGACCCACACAATAGGATAATACATATAAAAACTAGGAGGCTTCGCTGGCGCTTGCCAACCCCCGGAAATGCATTCGCAGTTCATTTCGGATTGCCTCCCAATCCGATGCTCGCTTTGCTCGCTCATTGGATATGTTCTTAATGTCTAGCTTTTGTATACTTTTTTGAACTCTGAAGTTCCAAAAACTTTTCACTGTAGAAAATTCTAAACCTGTGCATTTCAATATTAATTTGAAATTGCAAACAGTTCACATATTTTTCTTAATCACACTATTCTAAACTTTAGTTGTTGAGAAAAGTAACTGTTGTAAGTTTTGTTTTAAAGTCTTTCGCACCAGAGGGCTAAAACCATGTGTTGTAAAACAATATGAAATAGTACTAAACGCCGGATGTAAAGCATCGGCTTCGATGAAGATAATTTTGTGAGAATTTTTTTGATAATTCGGTGAGAATTCACCCGATTAGACATATGATGCTCACTACATGCTTTTGTTCGCCGAAGCCTATCAATTAAAAATAAAAGCTGTTGCCAACGCGAGAAAAGAAATATCATCGGTTTTATTCATACATACGTATTAGCGTTTTATATAATATAGATTATATTGAGCACTTAATTGTAAATAAATAGATGAATAGAATGCTTGTTGCAATTACTACTAACACATAAAATATGCCAAAAGAACACAGGTGAAAATAGTAGAAAGATGACAGGTGTACAGTTGCCTGGTTATAGCACATACTATATACAATTACTACATACAAAAATCAAATGTCTGTAAAACTTGTATTTATATATAACTACAGATGAAAAGAATCCTTGATACAATTGATACGATATTGCAATACAAATAACATTTCAATAGTACTCATATATATAATTACATGTGAAAAGAAGCCTAAACATTTAATCACTTACTAGTCTTGATAGACCATCACCATTTCCTAATTGAGCACCTGGGCAGTGTGAAATATGGATATTGTACCTTTGGAGAACTAAAGCCCACCGTTGCAACTTAGCAGATTGGGGTGCTGATTTTTGTAAAAATATTAGAAGATTATGATCAGTTATAATGTCCATATTCGCACCAAACACATAATTTTCAAACTTTTTTAATCAACCATACTACAGTATAGGCTTCACGTTAAATTGTTGCCCAGTTTTGCTGCACTTTGTTCGGTTTTTTTTTTTTTTTTCTTTGGGATAAACAAGCACCAACACCATAGGAACTTGCATCGCACTGTATAACATATGGGTTTTTTTAGGGTCTGGAGTATAAAGCGAATGAGCTTCACTCAACTTCTCTTTAGTTTTTGGAATGATAATTCTTGTGTAATTAAACAAGGGATGTTTAATTTATCTGTTAAAGCAAACAAATTATTTGAACTATAAAATAGACACTCGTCAGGGTTAAGCTGGCAATATTGCTAATTTTGCCTCGGCTTGTTCTTTAAATGTGGATTGTCAAATTGTTTTTCCCTTAGCTTCGATTTCTAAAGACGGAAGTAGGGACATACTCAAAATAGAAATCTCAGCCCCGTTATCAATGATCGCGTACATTTGTCTACTTGCTAGAGAAATAGACTTTTTGTAACGGGTACAAATTAATTCCATTTAAAGTTTTAGAACTCTGCAAATGCTTAGAATTTACATTTGTAACCACTGCGGTATTATCACTGGATTTATTTTTAGACATTTGTGTGTTAGTGTTTTGTTTTGAATATCTTTACCGGCTATATTTGATTGTTCATAGTATTTATTTCTTCTATTCGGGCAATTCTTAGCCATATGTGAGTTACTAGAACAGATATAACATTCGCACGTTGGAGTAAAATATTTGTTTTCTCTAGGGAATTCTCAAAGGTGGTGAAAGGTACTTAAAGTTTCCGTTCGAATTGCGGTTGTTGACCAAATTATCATACAATTCTGAAAATTTTCTACCTTTAGAGGTAAACCAGTTATCGCACAATTCGACGATCTGCCTAGGTTTAAACCAAGTATCTAATTACTTTATTCTACCGAAACTTTGTTTCGTTATCTAACGCACTTAGTAATCTATTGCTATCTATTAATTCATTCAGCGTCTCAAAATCTTCTACATTTCTAAGTTCGGAATAAAAATCCCAATTGGGTCTGAGTCTACTAGCAAATTGCATATGGTTTTCATTTTTTGATCTTTTGATGTTAAGAAAGTTTTCTAGACAGGCTTCTGGGGTTGGTTGAAATTCTTTTAAAATTAAAGTTAGACTTTATGATAATGATTATTTATTTCTTCTGCGTTTGCATAAACCGCCAAATGTGCCGTTCGTTAACCTAACAGATTAAATAATATTTCGACTTTAAATTCTTCTGAGACTTTTTTTTATTATAAATGCTTTTTCAAGAGACTTAAAAAATAAATTTCAAGATTCGGGTTTAATAGGAACGGTAATAGTTAATGTTTTAACACTTTTGATTGATGTTTCTAAATAATTATTATTTGAACTAAAATCATTTCCTACATTTAAGTTAGAACTATTACTCTCTGTCTGAATTCTAGTTAATTTTAATTGTGCTTTAACAATCTCAAGCCTAGTCTTCTCTAGTTCTAATGCTGCTTCAGTTGTTGTTTTGATTCTTTTCTGCACTTAATAATTCTGCTTTTTTTCTCTCTTTCAATAACTTTGGAAACTGTAATAATTAAAAATTCTTGGACAAAATCAGTCATTTTTAAATTGATCACTTTTTTCTATCTAATCTTTTAAATCAACAACTTTATGATCCGATTTTTACTACCAAATCTTCTTTTTTCATTCCCCTTACGTTAAACATACTTTTTCTATTTATTTCTATTCCCAAAACAATTATAATTTCTTAAAATCACTATTATTCTCCTCTTTATCACTTATAATCAATACTTCTCATAATTCATCATTTAAAATGTTCTTTATACTTCTTAAACAGAATTTAACAAATCTCATACCTTAATTTATGCTCTGGTCCTCGAAAGAGAGTGTAATATAGCACTGTCCAAATAATAATTCCTCGGAGTCCCAGACTCCTACAAAAGAACGTCTTACCTTCACAGACACTTTGTGTGAACTCTCAACACATCACGAACGAATAGACTTAATATTGATAATAGTGTTATCTGTATATGTTTGTGTAGCAAATTAATATATAAAACTGAATGGGAGAAAGGAATATAACATTAGAAGTTTAACAAAATACTAAAGTAAATAGTATTTCAGATAGATGTAATTAGTAAGCTAAGGCATTGAATATCTTGTCTAATTTTTGTACATTTAATGGTATTTCTTTGAATTTGCTATTTTTTGTTACCTCAAATTTAAAACCTTTGTTTTTCTTCTAGGTCGTTACACTGAAAGAAGCCAAGCTTCTTTTAAGAGACGATGATGACATCATTATTGCAGTCTATGATTATTGGCTAAACAAAAGACTTAAAACTNTTTTTAGGTTTTTGACAGTGGGGTTTTTGACGTGACGGTTTAAACCATGGTTTAAACTGTCACATGTCAAAAACCTGCCAACCCTGGTTTAGGCCAAGTATCTAATTGTTTTATTCTAACAAAACTCTACATTTCATTATCTAACGTGCTTAGTAATCTATCGCAACTATTAATTCATTCAGCGTCTCAAAATCTTTTCCTTTTTTAAGTTCGCAATAAAAATCCTAATTGGCTCTGAGTCTACTAGCAGATTGCATATGGTTTTCATTTTTTGATCTTTTAGCGCTAAGAAAGTTTTCTAGGCAGGCTTCTGGGGTAGGTTGAAATTCTTTTAAAATTAAAGCTTTAACTTTATGATATTCTTTCATTTCTTCTGTGTTTGCATAAACTACCAAATGTGTCGCTTGTTCGCCTTACAGATTAAATAATATTTCGACTTTAAATTCTTCCGGGACTTTTTTTTATTATAAATACTTTTTCAAGAGACCTAAAAAATAAATTTCAAGATTCTGGTTTAATACAAACGGTAATAGTTAAAGTTTTAACACTTGATTGATGTTTCTAAGTAATTATTACTTGAACTAAAATCATTTCCCACGTTTAAGTTAGAACTATTACTCTCGGTCAGAATTCTAGTTAATTTTAATAGTGTTTTAACAATCTCAAGGCTAGTCTTCTCGAATTCTAATGCTACTTCAGTTGTTTTGTTTTTATTCTTTTCTGCACTTAATAATTCTGCTTTTTTCTCTCTTTCAATACGTTCGGAAACTATAGTGATTAAAAATTCTTTGACAAAATCAGTCCTTTTTAAATTTATCACTTTTTCTATCAAATCTTTTAAATCAACAATTTTATGTTCTGATTATACTTCTAAACCTAATTCTTATGCAGTTACTACCAAATCTTTTTTCATTCCTCTTACGTTAACCATAATTGTTCGATTTTTTTTTTTTCTATTCCCGAAGCAATTATAATTTCTTTAAATCACTATTATTCTCCTCTTTAAGAATATCATTTATAATCAATACTTCTCATAAATCAACACTTAAAATGTTCTTCATACTTTATAAACTGAACATAACAAATATCATACCTTAATTTATGCTCTGGTTCTCGAAATACAGCGTAATATCACACTGTCCAAATAATAATTCCTCAGAGTCCCAGACTCCTACAAAAAACGTCTTACCGTCACAGACACATCACGCGAACTCTTAATACATCATTAACGAATGGGCATAAATATTGATATTAGTGTTATCTGTATATGTTTGTGTAGCAATTTAATATATAAAACTTCTGTGTTGATTTGTAAAACTAAATGGGAGAAAGGAATATAACATATGAAGTTTAACAAAATGCTATAATAAATAGTCTATAGTTTAACAAAATATGTAATTGGATGCAAATGTGTTTAATTCTTTTATTCTGACTTTCCAATAAATAGTATTTCAGATAGTTTTAATTAGTAAACTAGGACATTGAATATCTTGTCTAATATTTGTTTATTTAATAGTTATTTCTCAGATTTTGCTATTTTTTTGTTACCTCAAATTTAAAACCTTTGTTTTTCTTCTAGGTCGTTACACTGAAAGAAGCCAAGCTTCTTTTAAGAGACGATGATGACATCATTATTGCAGTCTATGATTATTGGCTAAATAAAAGACTTAAAACTGTAAGTTTTTTATTATTAATTATTAGATTAAAAATGTCGCTGCAAATGTAGTATATCTAATAGTTATGGATTTCATAGTTGCCAACCCTTCTGCATTTTAATGCAGTTTTCCATTTTTCCCTGTCGGAAATAAGTTTTTCTGCAATTTACAGGGATGAGATTCTTCTGTGGAATCGAGGATTTCCGCTTTTTTTCAGATTTTTCCCGCTAATTTCCGCTGAAATTTTTTTTGCACAAGTTAAAATATTTTATGAGGAATTTAATTTTCCGCGGAGCGAAATTGTTGAAGTCCTCATTCCACCCTTTGAAGTTTCTCTAAAAATAATTTCCTTCGGATAAAACTGGATGAGGGGAGACATACAGGGATGAGATTTTTTTTGCTTTTGTCTCCCGAATTTCAGCCTTTTTATCAAAAACTCTGACTCTCGTTTTTTTTTTTTAAATAAATATCCCGCTTTTTTTTAAAAAAAAAAAAAAAAAATTTCAGTCGTTGAAGTAAAATAATAATATTTATTTACGATATTCAAAGATAAACAGAAAATTCAGACTACGTCCTAGCTGCTAACCCTTCCGCATTTTTACTTATATTAGCTATTTTCTCAGATTTCACGCTCAGAAAATAAGATTTTCCGTATTTTTTATCCGTCCGCGGGATAGCTCGTATTTTCGTAATTCAGACGTCGCTGCTTCTTGTATTCTGGAGTGAAAGAGGAAAAAAAAAAAAAAATAGAAGTGGATTTGCGTTGAAAATATTTATTTGCTCATTCAATTAATCTTGTTAATTTTTATTTATTATGTCTAAACAAAAAACAATACAAACAAGCCTTTTAGAAATCCCAAGTCCAGACCTGCAAATACCTCTATTTTTATTCACGCGATTTTAATATCAATCATCGATTTTCGTATTTACCCGATTTAAAAGTTGCGCATTGCAATTCTTATTTACGCTTTTTAAATATCGTACATTATGAGTCGTATTTATGAGATTTCAAAATCCAATATTGTGTTTTGTATTTATGCATTTTTAAAATCGTGATTTTTATTATCAAACATCGATTTTCGTATTTACCAGATTTAAAAGTTGAGCTTTGCGATTCTTATTCAGGCTATTTAAATCTTGTACATTGAGATTCTTATTTACGAGATTTAAAAAACCAATGTCGCGATTTGTGTTTACGAGCTTTTAAAACCCTATTTAGCTACACGAGCTTAAAATCCGAATCATGTCGTGATTCGTTTTTGCGGTTGTAATATCGTGCGATTTAAAAATTATGCATAATGATCTAAAAATTGCGCATCATGATTTGTATTTTCGCATTTTTAAATTCGATGTAGAGTTTCATATTCACGTGATTTAAAAACCTCATATCGGGATTTATAATCACATGGTTTACAAGTTTAAAAATCGCACTTTTTTTTGTCAAATTTTTGTTTATGTATATATATTCTTGGATTTCCTCTTTTTTATTTTCTGACTACTCTCATCCCTGAATTTAGAAATCAGTATATGAAATTTTTATTTCCTATTTTGTGTTAACTGATGTGGGTATTAGAAAAATATCATAATAGAATCATATTAAAAAGAAATTATCCAGATTTTAAAACCATGTGCAAATAACACTTCTAAAATACTGTTTTGTCGAAAACATTTAACGAGACTACGCATGACTTTGCAAGAGAATTAGTACGGATTGTATATATCTACATGAATTTAAGATAGAATAATTGCCATACGATTCAAGTATGACTTTGACAAGGATACAAAATATAATGTCATTAACATAAGAAAATGCGTAGTTAGTATACCACTTTGTCTGAAAAATGTAGGCCAGACTTTATTGCATCCATTTGGTAGAACTGTGGCAAAAGAAAAGGTATGACAGGCTTGTTAAAATTTATTTCTCCTATTAATTAGGAATGTTATAAAACTTTATGACCAAATCAACGTGACTAGAGCTCAAATACAGCTAATGAGAAAAACAATTATATTGATAATAAATTTATACATGGTAAAAGTTGTAATATTAGTAATATTATGTATCAGTAACAAAACAGTTTAAACTCTTTAATAAAACATATATTTTATATAATGAAGTTTTCTTCACTTGCCAAAGCAATTATCTCCCTTAATCACGAAAAAATTGTAGTAATAATAATTACTCTAAGGATATTATATCTTGTACTTAACATATGACATAAGATAAAAAATTCACGTGCAGTAAAAAAGCCAAAATCGAATTTTTGAATATTTAATTTATGAAGAATTTAAAAAAAAACAAAAAAAAACAATTATATTAATTTATAATTTTTCTCAACTTGTTTTATGGAGTTAATAAGATTTGGCAAGGGAAGCATTCAATTACTGAAAGACCGGCGGCCGGTTTCGACATGTTTGATTGGCGAATGAACTTTAATCGAGCGTGTCAGAAACTGATTGCTTGATTGGAAATTCGCACATGCATCATAATTAGGGCTGCAGGTCTGTCGCGGCGCGAATTTGCACTGATTTCCACAAAATGTTCATCTTTTTTTCTAAAATCCGCAAATTTCTCAATATGTTTTGATTTGCGCGAAAATTGCTTAAAAAGTTTTTTTTTTTTTTTTCATTTTTAATTTAATATTTTTATTTAACAGAATTTTTTTACTTTCCTCAAGCCTTAAATTGAACATGTAAAATTGATTAGATATTTAGGGGAGTGAATCAATAGTAAAATGAGAAGAAAATATAGTGATAATCACAATCTTGTCAAGTAAGGTGGTCTTTCTAGGGAGGGTAATAGACTGATAGGATTACTTTCCTGAAGTCAGTAAGAGTACAAAAGAAATTGGAATCACAAACAAAGAAAAATGTTATAAATCAAATATTTGACAGAAAACTTGTTAGACAGGCAATTGCACTAAGCAATGAAATTTCTACTGCCTTTCTACATATCCAGTAAATTTTTCATGGGTGGCTTCTTGTGATTTCTTAAATAGGGATCAGTTTCTTCGATGAGAGGGAGATATGTAACTTGTAGTTTGAATGTAGAATGTTTGAGTTTCCACAGCAATTACTTCTTACAAAGCAACGGTCAAGGAATAGCGAGTTGATAAAGGAATTTGATCGAGTTTTGGAAATCAAAGACCGAACGCTATCCAAAATTGACAATTCGATGTTTGTTGGTACCTAAAAACAGCGTGGGCGCAGAAAGATCGCTTTCTAAGTATAAAAATATATTAATTGATGAAAGACTAAGCATAAATGAGAATAATCTGACAATGTACAATACTTTGTTCCAAAATTCTATTCATTTAAGTAAAAATATTAATATTCCTTGAAATTAAAAGAAATACCTTTGTTGTGTATTTTTAAAGCTTTTTTTTTTATTATTTGCGTGATTTCTGTTTTTTTGAATCATTTATATAATAAATTTTTGTGTTTAGAAGCTGCGCAATTTTCAAAATTTCGCTCGAATTTTCCGCGAATTTCAGGTCTTTTTTTTCACGCGACAAGCTTGCAGCCCTAATCATAATAGTATAGTATTAAAAAATAACCAGATTTTGAAAATCATAAGTTGTTTTTTTATGCTATTTTATGTGTATATTTCATGAAGTAGTGTTCACTGATCTAAAAATTTGTAGTTTATAAATAATTAAAAGCATGCTAAGAGACACAATTTCTGTGCATAAATTTTTTTTCCTCCTAGAAACGTAAACTAAATAATTTTTTATTAAACAGCTTGTAAGATTATTAAATGAACATTCAAAGGTGCATTTTTTTTTTTAAAAAAAAAGGTATTTGTTTATAAAAAGTTTTAAAGTGGCTTAAAGAATTTATTAATATACCCTCTTGGAAAAAAGAAACACTTATAAATTTAACCAGTTAAGGAAAATCCTGACAAAGTAAAAGTTTGTAATGTAACAATAATAATTTTGATTTGATTTTTTTTTTTTTTTTTTTTTTTTTTTTTTTTTTTTCCATTTTAGCAGTTAACTAATTTTTATAAAATATGGAATATGAGTATAAAAGCAATGCTTTTAAGGGATGGTGGCTTATTTGTCCAAAAAGGGCAAGAAAAGGTGTATTTATAGGAATCAAAGGTAAAGTAGTTTGGGCCATCCTCCTCAAAGGCGCTTAAGGAGAACACTGTACTAAAAAGGCAATGTAAATCTTTATTCTGAAATGAAAAAGTGCACTTTTGAATTTTTGTTTCTGAATGAAACTAAAAGAAATCTGTAGCAATAACTGCCACAAGACAAGGTGGTGTAAAATATGTTTGAATCTGGACAAATCTAGCATGTCTCTGTTTTTCCTTCAGGATCATTTGTAAATTTTAATTTTCATAACTATGTTAAAACTTCACGACTTGACTTAATGATATTTACCAATTCTGTATGTAAGTGCTATAGTTGCCCATAAATTAACCAGGACACAGTGAAGTAATTCATTAATGATTGTGAAAAGATTTTTCATAATGCTGAAAATTTAATTACATGTGTTCATAAGCAGACATAATATTGAGATCATTTCTACATGTGATTGTATATCTTAAATTTGCTTTTCTTTTTTCCAGCAACATCCACTCATACCTACAGTCAAAACGGAAAAAAGAGATGGTTCAACAAACAACAATCCTTATGTTGCATTCAGGCGGAGAACAGAAAAGATGCAAACACGAAAGGTATTTAGAGATAATTTGACAAAATGTGTAACATTTTAAGATTTTTTCATTATCTTGTTTAAAATTGTTTCATTTCTTTTAGAATCGAAAAAATGATGAAGCTTCCTATGAGAAGATGTTAAAATTACGCAGAGACCTTAGTAGAGCTGTGTAAGTCGCACTGTCTACTGTCAATAATATTCTTTTTCTAGTAGAAAAAAACAAAGCTCTGTTAAAAATTGTAGCCATATTTGAATTTGTAATTTTAGATGTAATGTAATCAGGTCATGAGGTGACATTATAAATTTGTTTTTGTTTTTCTAAAAGGAAAACTGTTTTGAGATATTTATTTTTTAGTTGGTGTTTCTGCTCTACGAAAATACCCTATTTAAAAATTATTTTATGAAATAATATTTTCCTACTGAACCACATAAAAGTTTAATGTAGTAACTCATACATAGATTATATAAAACATACCAGTAAGTAGACCTGAAAATAACCACTAACCATGTGGTGAGACAATGAAAAAACTTGGAGACTCAATATAATTAAGCAATTGGTCACTTTTATCCCTTTGACTATTAAATGAATAGGACCTATGGGTATTGGTTACCAACCTATTAGTAATCTATTTCGGTCTACCGTCGGTCATTAGCATATGAAAGGATGAAATACATGCGAGTCAGCATGTGTGTCTACCAAGCTGGATTCGGGGAGATTATTGCACTCTCATGTGCAACTTTGCTGCATTTTGCAAGATATTCTCAATTTCAGGCTTTATTTTCCATCCGTCTGATATTGCACCAAAATATCTCTTGATCATTTAACTATGGCTAATATAATCAAGAAAAGAGTTCTTTGTCAGAAACTAGTTATTTTATCATAGTCATATAATGTCTTTCAAAATTATTTTGTTAATGTATATAGTACTTAAAAATATTTTTCTATTGCTTAAAGCGTGCTTATTTTTTGTTGAAAGATTTAACTGTGCACCCTGATTTTTGCTTTTTTAAAATCCAATATCGCAATTCTTGTAAGAAGTAAGTTTTTTCTTGAATTAGTTACTCTAAAAGTGTGATATATTTTCCAATAGTTGGTAATTTAATTATAAATGTTAGTGCAAAAAATTATGTTAAGTATGAAAGTTGTATAGTATATAGATTGATATAGATTTTTCGCACATAAAATTTTAAGGATTTTTTACTTTGTGCCTAAATTATTTTATTTTTGAGTTTCAAATAATTGTGATTTTTAACTTTTTTTTTCACTAGCACTCACTTGAAATAAAGAATTTTTCAAGCAGTTTACATTTAACTTTGCATTGCAATGCTTGTAACTTAATTAAATATGATTTGATAACATTTAGTTGCTTTTGTTTATTTCCCAGTTTTTTTGGTTAAGAACTGTTGATTTCAGAAGTAGTTTAAGATCTTTAACTTATCTTATAGTGTGTTTTATCTAATGTGAAACTTTTTAAATTGACTTGTTTTTAATAGCATCTAACTTTTGCAGCACGTTACTTGAATATGTTAAAAGGCGTGAGAAAACAAAAAGGGAACTGCTTAATCTTACAATAGAGGTTTTTGAAAAGAGGTATGTATATATTTTTTCCTTTTTAATTGTTTGATAAAAATATTTATAGATTAAATGTTTGGATGCATTGCACATGAAAGGCGAAGTTTATCACTAACAGGAATGAAAATCCTCCACTTTTTATGATTTTTTTCAGACTTCCATTTAATTTTTATCTGATTCTCGCTATTATATCATAAAAGAATTTGGATTTCGTAGAAGTTTTGTGATTATGGTGGTGTTTTATTATAGCCTGAAAAAATTCTGGTCTTGAATAAAAAGAGTACTCCTCCCCAAAAAAATCTTGCAGCCTGTTACAGAATGAGCATTCATAAAAAAATAGTAGATTGAGTTGAAATCTTCAAAATTAGAGCGCATCATAAAGTTATTCCTCTTATTATATTCCTCTGCAGAGCATCTTAAGTGCATTCCACAGAGCAATTTTTCATATGCATCAATTTTAATTTGGGTAACTGCATTGTCGAAACTCAACTTCAAACCAGTCTTCTCTTTCAGCATTACCCACAACATTTTTACTGGTTTCGACAACAGCTTAAAGGAACATGCTCCATTTTTCATAGATTCCTGCAATGTTCTCAATTTTCTTATTTCTAATGGTATCTGATATCAGAGTTTCTATCTTATATTTGATCGTCTCATTCTTAAAATTACCGCAGTTACACTTTTCACACCGTTTGCTGCCAGCTTTACGTACATTGGAGAGTCTAGCCCTCAATTTGGCCTTGACCAGGTAGTGATCTGAATCCAAACAAGCACCACCATACATCCGAACATCTAGTACATACGACAAGTGTCCTGAATCAATCAGTGGGTGGTCAGATTGAAAGTTTCTTCGACTGAATATTTCCAAGTCATCTTGTGGTTTCTCTTGTGTGGAAAAAAGGTGCTGGATATATGACCATGTTAGTAACTTCAAATGGTTAGGCATAAAAAGATATGTATATTAAATAATTTAAAATTAGCTTACCTCAGGGATTAGATAAATTCCTTTTTTTTTTAAAAAAAGGAATTTGAAAAAGATTGTGGTAGCTCGATAAAACGGTAACTTATAATAGCTTGTAGTGTAGGTAAAATGTGCTTATTTTTGATTTTCAAATTTTAAAGGTGCCCAATTTCATCCCCCCCCCCAAAGTGCACAATTTTCTTTTCCAAAATGAGATTTTTCTGTGCTCTGTTGATTGTCATCATGAATTACGCAAAAAACATGGTTTTATCAATGTTCCAAATGTTTTAATTTCAGCTGAATAATAATACAACAAGGTAATGTGAAAAATGTAGGGGAAAAAATGTTGCATGTTTTATAAACCTGTGTGGTAAATGGAGAAAGATTTTGTAGAGGGTCCAATAATGATTGAAAAATACATTTTTGCCCTCAAAAGCTCTTGTATTTCTCTAATTAAATCTAATTAGATATCTAATTTTTAGAAATTTTCACTCAGCCTCCCAGGGTTGGCTTTTTGCTGGCATAAACTGGTTATAACCAGTAAAAACTGGCAGAAACTAAAAAAAACATCTATATTAGTTCTAGTAATTGCTTAATGACATTTTGTTTGAGTAAACTGAAAAATGTAACTCCGTATAACTGTAACAAACTTTTTAATTCATTGTTTGTAAATATATTAATTTGTTTATATTAAATCAGGGATGAGATTTTTCCGCTTTTTAGCGGATTTCCACTATTTTCACTTTTATCTCTTAAATTTCAGCTTTTTTATCAAAAATTCAGATTTTCTAAAAATTTCATTTTTTTAAATAAGTATTCTGCTTTTTCAGAAAATTCACCGATTTTCAAAGAGGAACAGAAAATTCAAACTACATAGCTACCAATCCTTTCTCATTTTTACTTATTTTACCTATTTTCTCCCCTTTACACGCAGCAGATAAGATTTTCCGAATTTTTTACCCGCCCTCCAGATGGATCCGATTTTCGTAGTTCAAACGACGCTGCTTCTGACAAGCCTTTCAGAGGTCCCAAGCCTGGAATCTGCTAATATCTCGATTCTTATTCACACGATTTTAATATCAAACATA